AATGATGACGCGTCATTGCTTGATTTCAGACTTTAGTCACTTTACTTTTGAGACTTCTGGCTTTTAATTTGCTTTTATTTAGACTTCTGAGATTGGAGTTCACTTTACTTTTGAGACTTCTGGCTTTTAATTTGCTTTTATTTAGACTTCTGAGATTGGAGTTTAGACATGTCATGTGTTTGAAGTTTGATCTTTATTGCTTGCTTAGTATCTATAGACTGTCATTATCTATCGTGATATTATCTTGCTTTGCTCATTTATCATGTCAAATTTCTAATAGTTAATATAATGATGATGTTACTAATCATGCTTTTCTATTGCTGAGAATTTTTATATTAGACTTGAAAGTTGAAGAAATGAGATAAATAATGGTTTTTTTGATAAACATGTACGTTATTTATTCATTATAATTATAGTACTTTGCTAATATTATGTAATTATTACGCATCTATTTCATGCTTAGTTATCAAATATGCATTTGTAGAAATTTTAGATTTTTTTATAATTTTTCTTATTTTTTAGAATATTTAAATATATTTATATTTGACCACTATTTAACTTTGCAATATTTACCGTTATTTTGCTGCAATAGCCCCAAATAGTTTTAGCGATACCTCCCCGCGACACGACACTATCCGCTATCAGCGACCTTGACCACTCCACATTCAACCAGTTTGTAACCACCGCCTAATTATGCCAAATGTGATTAAGCAGATTTTGGATGATGAAATTGTATCAATTGTTGACGGAGGATTTTAGAGATACTTAATTAGTTGGCGTGGACTAACATCTTCAGAGGACTCTTGGCTCCAAATCGAAGAGATTCAAAAGCTCGACCCAAAGTTGCTCCAGGAGCATCAGCATCAGCATCAACATTCACCAGAGGTGAATTTTTCCAATCCGGGGAGAGTTGATAGGGGTCAGTATACTCGATTTTATTCTAGAGGAACTTGGCGTCGTAGATCTCATTGAGATCTTAGATTTGGTTTGGTTCAAGATAATTCAAATTTTATTTGGTTATTGTTAGGATAAGAGTAAGGTTACTGATAAGGTTGATAAGGTTGAGATTGTTTTGATTTGATTTGTTTAGTGATAAGCATTTACATGTTTTTAGATAAGATTTGAGTTAATCTTCTGTTTATTTGAATCTCTATAAAAGAAAGGAATTTTTATGTAATCGCCAATGAATTTGAATGAGAATTATTGATCAAAAAATTTTCTAGAGTGATTCAAATTATGCCTTTTAAGCTTATTCTTTCAGATCAATCCTAACCTTTGATCTCATTCAAGTTCCTCAACAGCTTTCTTAAAAATAGATCTCATCTTCACAGCCACGTTATTCTTTCCTCCCCTACATCACAGGAATTTAAACCCTCTCCATAGCCCCTATCAAACTGGACCAAAACTTGCACCTGAAGCCTTAGCCTCGTCGTTGATAGCAACCAGGTCCAATGTTCTCAACGTTACAATCTCTCTTTCACAGATCTGAACCCTACAGAATTCCACAACGATAGAGAATTACAAAACTCAGATTCAAGCCCCTGTTCCCGTTTAATTAGATTGCTTATAGTTTGTGGTTAATTAAAACTATTACATCATTGATCTAATATTGAACTGACCCTTTTTATTTTGATACCCTTTCATAGGATCAAGTCAACAGGAATTCGACCCAAACGCTGAGTACTCAATTAGAATTTGTGGACCGTGCTCAACCTTTCATGCCTCGGGTTTATTGCGAATGCATTCCTTATTTGTTGTAGTTATTTTCCGCTGCAATTTTAGTGTGAGTTTGCATTTACTTTGCATATTAGTTTGTTTAATCACTTTTCCTAGAACTTGATAGATCATGCTACGCCAAAGACATTATCTTCTTCCTCACCCAATCTGATGTTTTAAGTGTTAGGAGCAGGAAGCTTTTTGCCTAAAAGTGTGATCACTTCTCGGCAGGTGAGCAAGAAAAAAGTGTGACAATCTTACCGAAGATTCGGGACATGTAAGCTCTAAACTAAAGAGTTACATATTCCACATGACTATGCTCTGTTTTAAAAAACCTCCGCCTAGTCCGCTTAGGCGTACGCCTAGACCTAGGCGGTACCTAGGCCGCCTAACTAGCGCCTAAGCGGTATTTAGGCTACTCACCTAGATTTTACGAGCGTTTAGGAGAGCATTATCTACTTACGTGGATTGCATCCTGTAGGCATTGGTTATGATTTTATGTGTTGTAGCCTATACGTCCTCCAAACTCTATTAACCTCCAAATATGAACATCTTCACTACCTCCTTCGACCTTCAACAAAACATCATCGACCACCACTTAAATGAAGAAAGAAATCCGCCTAGACACTATTCCGACATCTAAGATTTCTATAACATTGACATTCACTATCAATTATTGTGATTAAAAATAAAAAAGAAAACATCTTAGACTCTAACCTTGTTAATTATTATTTTGGCTATTTAGTATCTAAGTATGCATAATTTATTGTGGAACTAAGATTGCTATCTTTTTATGAAAATTTATATGAATTTAATACATATTTTTATCAATTATATTATAATTAAATAATTTAAAATAGTCAAACGCCTAGGCGCTGTCTAGGCGTATGTCCAGGGGTCTAGGCGTTAGGCGCTCGCTCAAACGTCTAGTCTGTCTAACGTCTTTTGTAACATCACCGAGCTCCCCGATCTCTGTAACAAGTAACAAGGTAAATAGTACTTCTTAAATATCTATTTAAATTAGTTAACAACAGTAACTTAAACTTAAGAAGTGAAAGTTAACAGTAAACTTAAGTTAAAGTTTAAGTTTAAGTTAAACTTAAGTTTAAGTTAAACTTAAGTTTAAGCTAACAGTAAACTTAAGTTTAAGTTTAAATTTAAGTTAATATTAAGTTTTTTGTTGATGATAAACTTAAGTTTAAGTAAACAGTAAACTTAAGTTAATAATATTTTATTTAACAATGAACTTAAGTTTAAGTTTATTGTTAACTTAAACTTAACAGTAACTTATAAGTTAACAGTAATTTGAGTTGAGAATAAGTTTTTCACTGTTGAGATGACTTATAATTTGAGTTGAGAGGTATAAACATACAAAGAGCTATTGTAATTGGTAAACCAAGCAATTTAGTTAATAGTGTTGGTACTTTAGTATTTATGCATCTTTGATTGAGTATATATATATTTATCTTACAATTAAAAAAACGCCCAAAAATCGTTTAGACGCCCGCCTAGGCGACTAAGCGTTGGACGTCAAGTCCGACGCCTAAAAGCGCCTAGCGTTTAATGTAACATTATGACTATGCATAGCTTACATTGGAATCAGAACGCAATGTTAGGATTGCTAGCATTTATTCCTTGTATCTATTTATCTTGTTTTAAGGTTTAGATCCTTTCTTTTATCACGTGTAATTGCATCGAAGTAGATGATAATTCTAATTACATGTTATTACATTAGATCTCGAGTTTCTTAATGTGATTTGGTCCACAAAACATTAAAATTACGATATATTAATCTTTTTTAATTAAAAAATAAAATTTCGGTGTATAAATACTATTTTTGGCATTTGAGATGTCAGATCTCTAAAAAAATTCCATCTTTATGAACTAGTGGCCAATCTTTAATACATCTAGGATTTTTTTTAATGAGAGATTAATTTTTAATTTCTATAAATAAGAATTGTTTTTCTTCAAACTTCTAGATTTTAGAAAAACATTCTTACCCTAGCAGTTAGGAACTGCTGGTGCCGAACGCGCTGATTGGCAACATGAGTCATAGGACCCGACAGAGAAGGCCTTAGCGCTTGGCACAGACCATCCTATGACCACCACCACCACTTGGCGTCAACAGCGGGTTGATTTTGTTTTTAGAAAAATAAAATCGCCTCGCCACCGTGGCAGCAACAACGCGAGTCGATCAACACTGAGTACTGATGGTCCACATCGCTGAACACTGTCAGACCTAATCACCAGCCTAGCCACAGTGCTTAATGCAACTCCTAAATCATCTTTGGGCACTATTGTGGGTCACAACGGCTATAGGTGCCATCTCCGATGGGGGTGAGTTCGGGACCGAAGGGGTACGATGGAACTGTAAGGGAGCACCGGCTGTCAAACCTCACATCTTCCACTCCCACAAATGAATAGGTGCCGTCTATTACTCCTTGAGCCAACTCCCTAAATCAAAACCTCCCTTAGAATCTCCTTTCTTATCAAATCTATATCCATAAATCACTAGTGCGGCACGGACCATTTGTAAGCATCTCAAGGTTTACAAATTTTTTCCAATATAGAACTATTAAAATTGCTAGAGTCTAGAGGTAACTTTCTTTTAAATCTAATAATCTGCACTGAAGTATATTTGGCCATAGTAGAATTTTTTGCAGATACAGTTTGAGACTATGTAGTTCTTTAAAACCAATGAAATATAGTAAAACGCTATTTAGCTTGGAAAATTTCTCTAGTTCTCTGGTAAATGCTATCATTCAAATGTTAAAAAATTCTAAGTTATTTAAAATCTATATAATGTTCAAATTGCTAAAGTTTTTAGAAAATCCTATATTTTATAACTAAAACGACAGTATTTGAAGAAAATTTTGGAACCAATCATAACTTTCAATGGTTAGGAGATTAATGTGATTCATTTCAAAATTTGAATACAAAAGCATTTTTCCTGCAATATTAATTGCAAGCGGAAATTAGCAGAATTATGTGAACAAGACAAGTTCAGGTCCAACCAAGCTTCAATTATCCCAAGTTTCCTATGGAGAACTCGAATTAAGAAACTAGAGCTCCAAACCAGCATGCTTGATGACATAAGATCAAAAGGTAGAAACTTGAGCATTCTTCAAAATTAATAATTCAAATAAGAAAAAAATCTGAATAATAATAGTGGATACGAAGTTAAAACAATGAACTATATGCAACTGATTGTCATGTATAAGAGATGCATAAGTTTCGCTTCAAAAGAAATAGTACTGGTGTTAATTAATTGGCCTTTCTCTTACCCCTTTCTTTCTCAAAGAATTTGTGGAGTCAAACTGGCGAATTATCTGCTTCAGAAGTCCTCCCTTTGGTTCTAAAAGAAGTTTTCTCCCAGCTTCTAATTTCGAGATGTTTACAAGTATGGAAGCAACATGTTCAAATGTATCCTCTACACAGGCACAAAACAATAAAGTAAGTAGCTAAGTATATGACTGGCCAAAGCCATACAAACACTACATCTAGGTTCTAAAATTTGAAGAAAGGTGGTAAAAATTGCTTTATAGGATATAGAGTAAGGTGTTTCTGCAACAAATAGAAACAGAAACAGATCATCATCACAAAGAAAAAAGGTGACAGAAACTCAGTTAGTCCAGAGCAAAACAAAGATAACCCCAGCTATCAATAAAGATCATAGATTAAAGTTATTACTAACTCCAAAAGATATATACTCCCGACGTAAAATTACTGAAAGACTTGTGATAGGGTAAAAACCTAACCAGATGTTTCATCAGAAGATGACCTACAAAATGATCTTATAAGCTTAGAGACATACAAGCCTTCCACTTTCTCTCCAACCTGACAAGAATAGTTCAGCATTTAGTACGCTATATACCGACTTAAAAATGCATGTAGAATAATGTATATGACAGAACCCTCCCAGCTCATAGGAATTTTCATTACGCAAAGATGGCTGCGCACTACGCTAAAGAGACAGGATAACAATTGACTGTAATAGCTAGAATTTAGAAGCAGTTTGATTGAAACTGAGTGGATGCTCTCGACACTCATGTGAAATTGACTCAAATAAAGTGTGATAGATGAGTGACAGGATTCTGAAATTCACTAATTGTGATAATAATGCAGTTTGACCACTTAATCGCTGTTTTAGAGTGTTAATTTTCCAAGCTATTATCAATTAGAAACTAACTTGATTCATTAAGTCTTGATTCAAATCTGATATAAACGTTATCAGTAACCATCGTATTCAATGTTTACGTAACCATCTTATTTAATGTTTAGGATAGGAAAGGCTAAGGTTGCGGTCCTAAATACAGAGGCCTTTGGGAAAAAGGAATAAAGTGAGTAAAAGTAAAGAGAAAAATTGTGGCAGAATTGGCTTGTGGTCTAATTTAAGAAACTATTTCAATATGGGCAGCTAAACAAAAAAACTTCTAGTTTAACTGTGAATAAACACAGGGGAACGGAGAGAGAAGATTATCACTGTTACTTTTTCAAGTGTTCCTCCAGAGATACTACACTAAAGTATCAGATGTTAATAGTATAGTGTAAAATGTTATACCATCAAAGGCCAATACATTTACCCTCCCTTCCAAAGTTGAAACTGCTAATTATTTACTACATCCTAGTGTTGCCGGTAAGAACAGAAAAGCAAAAACTTTTTCTTCACCCTTCTTCTCTTCCCATATCAATCATTCAACACGTTTGTTAATAAAAATCTGACCTTTGTCTACATTTCCAATAACTTGATCAAGTATATTCTACAAACAAACATCAATTCAATAAATTCACGAAACTTCAAGATCAAATGTACCTGAAGAAGAGACCTAGCTCCAGAATCCAATTGAGTCAAATTGGCCAACAGCATCACCATCAACCTCACAACTTTACGATCCCCAACCTTATACATCACATCCATAGCAGTACTCACGGTTCCAATGGACACAAGCTCCTCCGCAATCCCATGATCCTGGGAGAGATTGATCAGAGCTTCGGCCGCGGGAGCGGAGAGCTCCGCTGGATCTCGGAGGAGGCGGGAGAGAGGGGGAAGGAGGCGGTCGGAGCGGGAGGAGAGAGGGCGGAGGCCTTCATCGGAGCCGGTGAGATCGCGGACGATGTCGACGGCGGCCTTTTTGACCTGAGAAAGGAGAAACAGAGCGAGTTAGGGTTTTGGTTGGGGGAGGGAGAAGAGAGAGGGGGAGCTGGATGGTGAGTACTTGAGGAGAAGGGGAGGAGAGAAAGTCTAGCAGCTCTTCGAGCTCGTCCGCCATTGTAGACGCAGAGAAAGGGCGAAAGATGCGGGCCTAGGGCTTATGAATGCGACGAAAGATTATGCTCTAATATGTTGTAGATCTTGCCGCTAGTACCAAATCCGTCGTCGTCTAGTCCGGTTAGGATATCTGGCTTTCACCCAGGCGACCCGGGTTCAAATCCCGGCGACGGAACATAATTTTTGCTAATCTACCTTATTTTTGATGGATAATCGCAAATATGCAATTAGATACATTATATAAGAGCTACGGAATTTTTAAGAAATAGCAAACACGTTGTTCCCTTCGGCCTCCTTCACTTTGGCAAATTTTCTTTTTGTGTTGTGATCGTTAGTTGTTTTATATTTTAATCTTAGCTTTTATTTATGATGGGCAAAAGGAAAATAATTAAATTATATATTTCATTTAGCTTATGGAAGGACAAATTTTCAAAATCAACATTTTTGACATTTTAAATAGCAAAACCGACCTCATATGACATTATTCAGCAAAACCGACCCTTTTCAGAAGAAAATGTCAGTTTTGCTGCTGGGTAGTTTTTACGAAATACACGGGACTGCTAGTCCCGTGCATTTCGACCCAGCTTTGAAAAACACGGGACTAGCGGTCCCGTGCAATGCATTGTTTTACCGTGGCCCCCTCCTTTCCTCATTTCCTTCACCCGTGACTCCCCTTAACCCCCTACCTCATTTTTTCACCCGTCTCGACGCCGCCACCGACCCCTGCCACCGACCCCTGTCGCCGACCAAGCAAGCTTCGTCTCGTCTAAAGATCCGACCAAGCAAGCTCCGACCAAGGTAATGTCGTTGTTGTTTTTTTTTAGCCATGAAATTTGCTTGACGAGGTGAGATTTGAGATTATATTTGAACCATGAGTATTGTGGCCGGACAAGTGTGAGGAGTTGTTAGGTGTAGCTCCAAAGTCAATGTTTGGAGGAAATATTAAATTGAAGTGGCTAAAAGAGACTTTCTCGGTGCTGTTGTCTTTTGATGCGCCACCAATATTGATTGAGCAACATGCACGTGCATACATTATGCACATGATCGGTTCAATATTATTTCCAGATCCGAGTAAAGATAAAGTGCATGACAGGTATCATTTTTATCAGTATTTAAATTATGTCTATTGAATTAACTTATTTTGATAACTTGAAATGTTGTGAAAATGCTAGGTGGTTACCACTTATCGGGGGTTTGGACACGTGTGATGCGTTATTGTGGGGTAGTGCGGTTTTGGCATACCTATATAGAGAGATGTCCAAGGTTGCATTCATGAAAAATAGTGACTTTAAAGAGTGTCTCAACTTACTGCAAGTATGGGCATGGGAGAGACTGCATTTGAAGCCGAGACTATGTCATGGGAGAGACTGCATTTGAAGCCGAGACTATGTCTGAATTTACAATTAGACGGACAAATTCCATTGGGATACAGGTATTATATTTTTTTAACGTAGTAAATATAATTGTAGTTATTATTTTGGTACTGAATTTTGAAACTAACACAGATGGATGTCCAAAAATGTTATGACAAGACCCCGGCTAGACAATTAGATTTCTACCGAAATGAGCTTGACCGCATGAAAATTTTTCAGGTATCATTTCTATAAAAATGAGTTTTTTCTTTTATATATCAACTTTTGTTTTAATAATATGCAACAATTATATGTAATACTCTATAGACAGAATGTGAGCCCTACACCCCATTTCTCGATCATCTACCCCTGATATGCACAGAATACCCAGTTATATGGAGAGCCATAGTTCCTTTAATATGTTTCGAGATAGTAGAAATGCATGTACTGGACCACGTGACAATTTGGTCTTGCACAACATGTTCCACAATTTGTTAAAAAATAGAGAGGAAGGCGAAGAAAGGAGGCTAACAAAAGAACTGGGTAGCTGAGCTCAAAATTATATACACAGATGGAATGATAGACATTTTTGTATTGTTGAGCAAATTGAGCCAACTCCTCAGGAATCAGATTACTACACTTAGTATTGGAGGATAACCAAAAGATGGATACTCCATGCGACCACTGTTGGATTTAATCTAATAAATCTATTTGTGGGCACATATGATTAATCAATGTGTATTGCTATCCTTCAGGATAACCCACTTAAGTGATCAATTAATTTGGATTAATGAGTATTTAAATAAGTCATGGGATTATATGTGCAGATACCAGGTTGTAATTGTGATTTGATGAGGGGCCAAATTACAAATGTACAACATCTATAAATAAGGGGTTATGGTCCCTAATCTAGGGTTACACTCTCTAATTCTATTCACCCCCATCTAGAGAGAAATTTGGCTAGAGAAACCCTAAGGTTAGAAGATCCAAAACTCATCTTAAGTTTAATCTATGGATTCAGGTATAAGCTTCCGTTCTTTTCTTTTGATTCTTGTAAATCTCTTTGAATTAATCATGGCTTTATGGTTTAGATCTCAAGTTTTTATTAGATCTAACAAGTGGTATCAGAGCCACCTTGATTTGTTCTAAGAAATTAAGATTAAAATTAGGGTTTTTGATCTTAATTGTTTTTAGATTCAGTTTTTGTTCACGGATGAACAGTAACGGCTGCTGGAAAAAATTTCGGATGAAAAGTAACGTATTTTTCGGATGAACAGTAAATAAAAATCCTCGGCGAACAGTAAAATTTTTTAATTTTTTAGATTTTTTTCTTTTATTTTTCTTGGATCTGGATCAAGAAAACTCATTTTTTTCGATTCTAGATCTGTTTTGAAATAAAATCGAGAAATTCTTTTGGATCTATTGTGTTTTGGTCGTTGATCCCGTGCTCCTCGTCGGCGAAGTGTCGCTGGCAGCCTCGCCCTCGACTCCAACGGTGACGGCGGCGTTAGGAAACCCTAGGATTTCGACCTTTTGGGTGCAGGAGCAACGACGGCGGCGGTTTCAGATTTAACCCTCTAAGGGTTCGTGCGTGAAAACGTGCGGGAATTAAGGAGGTGGTTACCTCAAATTTTGGCGAAGCTGAAAGCTTCAAACGAACTTCGTGTTCGTTCTCAAGTGAGCATCGCGCTCAAATTTAACCGAACTTCGCGTTCGTTCTCAAGTGAGCATCGCGCTCAAATCAAACGAATCTCACGTTCGTTCTAAGGTGAGCCTCGCGCTCAGTTCTAAGGTAAGCCTCGCGTTCAATTTAAACGAACCTCGCGTTCATTCTAAGGTGAGTCTCGCGCTCAGTTCTAAGGTGAGCCTCGCGCTCAATTTAAACGAACTTCGCGTTCGTTCTAAGGTGAGCCTTGCGCTCAGTTCTAAGGTGAGCCTCGCGCTCAGTTCTCAGGTGAGCCTCGCGCTCAATTTAAGTCGAACCTCGCGTTCGTTCTCAGGCGAGCCTCGCGCTCAATTTAAGTCGAACCTCGCGTTCGTTCTCAAGTTGAACCCTGCGTTCATTTTCAGCTGAACCTCGCGTTCATTTTTCAAACGAACCTCGCGTTCGTTCTCAAGTTGAACATCACGTTCATTTTCAGACGAACCTCGCGTTCGTGCTTAAGTGAGTCTCGTACTCAATACAGACGAACCTCGCGTTCGAAGTCAAGCGAACTTCGTGTTCACTATGGTTAAGCCTCGGCTTCTCATATTAAATTATGGGTCCACTTTATTATACTTAATTTATTCAATTAAGTTATGGGTCCTATTTAAACTATTAAGTTATGGGCCCTATTTAAACTATGGAAATTTAAATTAATTTAATTTAAATTTAATTTGGTTTTTAATTAATTATTTAATTCAAATATTATGACACTAAGGTATTAAGGTTGTCTCTCACTCCAATTGATTAATTGAAACAAGAAGTTGCCAAAGTAACCTCTCTTGTGTAGATTGTTCATGAGGAATGTGAGATGTTTGTGTGTATGCTTTCGTGTAAATATTTAATCGGCCCAAAGGAAGGTTAATATTTATTTAGACTGTATACACATCTGCGATGATAAGCGTGTGACAATTATAAGGTTTACATGTGAATAATGAATCGATCCAAAGATAGTTTCATTATTTGACATGAGTTATTGTCAATGTTTGATCATTGCAACAAGGTATCACTTACAAGTTAATATTACTGTCCAAAGACTTGATATTAATGTTGTGCCGGTATCTTGGATGGGGATTGTCATTATTTGAATTTTATTGATTATGGTTATTGATGTGAGCATTCTTTTGTTTTATTTCAGCTAATGCATCTGCTGCAACAATTTCTGCTAACATCAACTCAATTCCGGACAAATTTTAAGGTTTGGAAAGAGAACATATTAATTGTTCTTGGCTGCATGGATCTTGACTATGCATTAAGAACTGAACAACCCCAACCTCTCAATGCGGATAGTACTCCTGATGCAAAGAAGGAGTATGAGAAATGGGAGTGTTCAAATCGCATGAGTCTTATGATCATTAAGCACGGCGTTCCGGAAGCCTTTAGGGGCATAGAATCCGAAGGGATTACTAAGGCTAAAGATTTCCTTGCCGAAATTGAGAAGCGTTTTGCGAAAAACGATAAGGTAGAAACAAGCACGCTCTTAGCTCGCTTGATTTTAATGAAATATCTTATGTTGCTTCAAAGCTTAAGGCACTTAAACTCGATCTTTGTGATGAGTTATTGGTGCATCTGGTTCTGTTATCTCTTCCTGCACAATTCAATCAGTTTAAGGTCAGTTATAACTGTCAAAAGGAGAAATTGACTCTAAATGAGCTCATTTCATACTGTGTGCAAGAAGAAGACATGTTGAAGCAAGATAAGACAGAAAGTGCTCATTTGGCCTATGCCTCTAATGATAAGGGCAAGAAAAGGAAGAATGATAATGAAGTTGCTAAGTGTCCAGTTCAGAAGAAACATTATAAGGATAATCATGGTCGTTTCTTCTGTAACAAGCCTGGACACGTAAAGAAGGATTGTACAAAATATCACGTCTGGCGTGCTAATAAGGGTACGTTCCTTACTTTGGTCTATTCTGAGGTTAATTTAGCTTCAGTACCTAGAAACACTTATATCCTGAAAGACATCCTGATAAT